GTGTCAAATATTTCTCCTGTGTGTTAGTATATTCCTAGAAACTCAGTGTTGAGTAGTCTGCATCTTTAGCTCTCCATGTTAATCCAATTTATATATTGTAGCCCTGGGGATATGTTGGTCAATTATTTGGTTGGGATATGTTGGTTCTCTTATGTTCTGATTAAGCCTGTCATATTTTGGTGGGACTGAATTCATGGATATTGAACTTCAAAACATGTTCTTAGTGCCTTTGCTGGTTTGGCTCAAAAGTTAGAGCACTGGCCCAAGGACTGAAGGGTCTTGGGTTCAGTTCCCGGTTAAGGGCACATACCTGGGTTGCAAGTTTGATCCCTGGCCCTGGTTGGGGTCCTGAGGGAGGCAATTAATCAATTATCTCTCTTGCATCAACATTTCTCTTTCTCTCTGTCTCCCTCCCTTCCTCCCTCCCTTCCACCCTATCTAAAAACCAATGGAAAAATATCCTCCAGTGAGGATTAACAAAAAACCATGTTCTTAGTACTGACTCCTCCCCTTTTGTCAGAGAATAAACCTGAAGGGGTCTGAATGTCTGATTGTTCTTGCACCATGAAAAGGCCGTGGCAAAGTAGTTTTCTTTGAGGGATGGCCTATGTTACAGAGAACAGAATGCTTTGTGTGTGTATAACAACGTTTTCCCATTTCTTTCAAGAAGCATGAGGCATTTTCCCCCCAAGAATCATTATTAGAACCCGTTTAGACTCTTGCAAGAAAAATCCATGAACTGTGGGAAGCACCCTAAAGACAGGCCCCCACTCTAATTTGTAAATCTTAAGCTAGTTCTTACTGTGTCAGCATTTCATCTATTACAGTTTACATAGTACTGGTGGTTGCTGGTTCCATTGGCTTCTGCTCTGAGAAAGCAGTAATTCTCCACATTTGCCAGTCTTTTGTTTTGGGGGCATTGCTTGGCTATATAACCTCAAATATCTCATGGATCTAAAAAGTGTTGCTTTTCAGGTTTTGCAGGTTTTGTTGTTGTTGTTATGAAGATGAGAGTGAACACTCCAAGCTTTTTATGTATTGGGACAGAATCCATCCATTCACTGTGTTGTTCTGTTTATTTCCCGTATGACACTGTACCATTTTCAGTGATTGATTCTACTGCCAGTGACCATGTGGGTGGTTTCAAAGTTTGTCTTTTGTGACCACTGCATCTAAAAAATGATCATAATGGGATCTTGGCTTTTTTATTTTAATCCTCACCCGAGGATATTTTTCCATTGATTTTTACAGTGGGAGGGAGGAGGAAGAGAGAGAAAAACATTGATATAAGAGAGACACATTCACTGGTTGCCTCCCACACAACCCTGGGTTCTAGGGATTGAACCTGCCATTGAGGTACGTACCCTTGACTGGGAATCAAAACTGTGACTCTTTGGTCGGCGGGCTGATGCTCCAACTGCTGAGCCAAACTGGCCAGGGCTGCATTTTTATTTTTTTGTCCTCATCTTCTCAAAATTTCCCATACTGAACAGCTGTTAGTCACCTGAAAAATCTTTTCCATTGACTTCTTTGTTTTACCATTGAGGGCTGGATTGACACCTTACTTAAAATAGGATCGAAGGTCAAGACTTTGTCATCACATGCATCAAGGGAAGAGAAAAATTATTACTCAAAGGTACTTTTTATAGAGTAACCTCATTTGGTGGCTTCTACAAAGAAGAATGGGTTGGCCCTTCAAGATGTGTAGAATTATAGGCTGCAAATATTCAACATTTAATTCTCCTACCTGCCGACACAAAAAGAGATGTGTGAACGTCGTAACTGGTTTTCCTATGTGGGTCAGGCAGGGTGTGCAGGTTTCTATACTAATTAAGGGTCAAATATCAAACATGAGCTCAGCACCTTTATTAAAGTTCTCTCCTGAGCCCTGGCCGGTTTGGCTTAGCACTTGGAGCATTGGCCTGCGGCCCAGAGAGTCCCGAGTTTGGTTCCCACTAAGGGCATGTACCTTGGCTGCAGTTTGTCCTCGGCCCCAGCGGGGCAGCCACTCGATGTGTCTCTGTCACTTCCATGTTTCTCTCTCTCTGTCCCTCTCTCCCTCCCTCCCACTCTATCTGAAAAATAAAAAATAAAATAAAATAAAATAAAGTTCTCTCCTGAGCTTTGTTGACTGAACTATGTCACATCTCCTTTAAATGAACTTGAACATAAAAAGCCATGTAAAAAGCACAAGCAACATATTATAATTAAGTTGGCAAAACCTAAAAAAAACCCAAAACTCAATTGAATCCAGTCAACCTCAGGTGGTGGAAAGATCCAGAGTGTTCTAATAGTTTAGTAATGTCATTCATTTGTTGTCTGTTATGTTTTTGGTGGCATCTTGCCAGGGTGGCCTACCCACATGCTGCCAGCAGCCCTTGTAAGGGAACACAACTCTTTCTGGTTGCTACTAAATACACCAAAGATAAGTGGTCAACTGGAGGGTTTTCCTTAAAGGGAACCATCTGAAACATCAGCTGTTACATGTATTTTTGAGTGTTTTGAACATTACTATATTGTCATTAATAATGTGCTCGTTGAATGATTATCATGTGTGTCCAGGTCAGTACCAGTGCCTCCCAGGATGAGTGCATAAGTACATTTGGGAGGAACCAGACCATTTTTGTTGGATGGGCAGAGGGGTTTTGAAGAAATGTGCCCAGAATGAAATACACACCTAGGAGCACCCAAGAGGGGATGTAAGAGTGGTGGCTAGCACACACTATTCCAGTAAACCAAAGAGCTATTAGAGGGATCATTCTGACAGGAATGTCTAGTATAAAAAAATCTCCACTTGTAAGGTGCTAGTAAGCCTGATGATCAGAGCAACATATGTTAATGGGCCCTAACAACTGGGTACTGAGTCTAAGAAATGCCTCAAACAGCAGGAAGATCCATTTAGAAGGAAGCAAGTTTTCTCTAAACAATTAGGCCAACCTATGAGAGTTTAGAGGGTTACAAGAGATACAAAGTCCATAGAACGCCTTTTTCAAGGGCCCGATGTTTTAATTTCTAGAGGGTCTTTGTAAGTGCCTGCGCTTCGGCTTTGGTAGGGTCACATATGATAGGATGAGTAATTTGTCTATGAGTTTCTAGCATGGTGTGAGCATAGCAAGTAGCCCAGCAGAGGGGGTGAGGTGCCACTAAAAAGTGTATTTGCCATTAGCCTCAGGGACCCTTTCCTTGGTATGAAAAGTATGTTGATCGGTTACATTACCAGTGGTGTGTTTTTTTCACATCAGGTGCATTAATCAGGCACTAAATTAGCCATGGTGAAGGAAGAAAGTTTCTTCAATTTTGCCTACATCTTTAAGTTAGAGGCCTCTCAATGGCTTAGTATTATGTGGGTCCACAGAGCCAAGATTAATAGCATCAAATTTGAGGTGTCGGTATGTCTCAGAAATCTGACTGAATTTATTTCCCTGAGCACTGAACTGAGCCTCTGCAGACTGAGGTTTAATGTGTGCAGATGTACGAGTGACCTTGACTGTGTACTTGGTTATTGTGAGCAAGATACGTATTCCCAGTGTGTTATACCGAAGGGGGTGACATTGGATAGAATTGTTGCTATTGGTGGGAAGAGACTGCTAGACATTGGCAAAAGCCAAAGGACCTATAAAAATGTGTAAATGAGCTTGATTCTTGGCTAGGGAGTTCTCTAATGCCAACAAGATTGCCTGGAGTTTAGCTAACAGACCTGTTGTTTGTGTTGTCTTTGATCAAGGATGGCCAGCTCAGTCTAGGGACAAAATGCACCATCTCTGCAGTAGGTTCCATCAGATGTGGTGGGGGCAAACTGTTGATAAAATTTTTGAATTACCTGGTCATTTATGTATTCCCAAGAGATTCCCAAAGTGGCCAGTATGTTTAGAAAAGTGACCTTCTTCACAACAGTCTGCATTAATGTGAAGGAAACGTATTTCCTCCTGTAGGTGGGATATGTACTAGGGGCACCATTTTCAGCTCTGTGCTGTAGGTACTAGTATCTCTCCAATGAGAACTATAGTTAGAAAGCCCAAGAGTCCTGTATTCATGACCCGAGGAAAAATGAGAAGCAGGCCGCAGAGCATGATCAACTTGGCCTGGGAGGGCCTCCATTACAAAAAGATTCTGTCAGCTGTCAGCAGTGGCTGCTCTAATTGTATGCAGCATGAGCTGAGGAAAACAGTCTCTTGAATGAGAAAGCCCTGGGTAATTTATGTCCACCATGGGTTTGGAGTCTCTTGGATGCCTTTATTGTAGAGGGATGTGGGGAGGAAGACACTGATGGAGTACTTATTTCAACAAATTCTAGAACCATTTGTTTTCTCATTTAAAGTCCATTTTTAAGTGTTGTGGGAATAAGTAAGAAAGCAGGTCTGATAAACGTGACAGCTGTGGCTGAGGGGGAATCAGCTCATCATACATGTTCTGCCACTCTGTCATCCTTTTAGCTCACAGCCCCCTGGTGTTGCCAAGGAGAAATCAACATGAAAATAATAATTCACATAAAACTATCATATACTTAACACACATAAAATTTATTCCAATGGTTTTTTTAGTGTGGAAAATAAAAAAAGGCTCCTATACCCCCTCTCCCACAAAAGGAGCTTTCTCAGTAAGAAAGGTAGAATAGATATAATGGACTCAGAATATCCAGGAACTGTCACAAAACCAGTAGGAAAATCCCAACAAAAATCAAACTTTCATTTTTCAATGTTCCCTTAACATACAATAAATAGAACATTAAAAAAAAAAAATTAAACTACTGAAGTACCTATATAGGGAATAAGAAACTACATCTTTTAAAAATCAATCAACTTTTAGACTGAAAAATATAAAAATGAAATGAAAACTGTATATGACAGTTAAATAGACACAGATAAAAAGACATCACTAAACTTGAAGTACAAATATTTTAAATGTAAAAGAAAATTAAACCCAATTTCAATTCACTTATGAATCCGAGTTTCAAAATGAAAATGTAAAATACTATTCACTGATTTAAAGAAAAAGCACTATCTATAATCTTATATATTGTTGTTGAATGATGTGTCACAGAATTATCTGAATATTCAGCTCTGAAAATAATTAGTAGAAACCCACAGTCCAACAATGCACTTTAAGGAAGCTTGATAAAACACAATATATTTACACTTATAATAACTCTTTCATATTGAAAGTTTTCTAGAACATTACACATAGATTAATTTCCATCAAGCCTTCTCACATTACTCATTTCTCTCTTTTTCTTTTCTTTTTCACATGTAAGTACAGTATGTGGATCAACTGAAGTCTTTCCTATGCTGTTCACATTCAACAGGACTTATCCAGTGAGTCTTTTTATGCCTTCGGAAGGAACTGGGAGAACTGAAGGATTTCCCACATTCTTCACATTCATAGGGTTTCTCTCCAGTGTGACTTCTTTCATGTACTTGGAAACCTAGCTGAGAAAAAAAAGCTTTACCACACTGCTTACATTCATAGGGTTTCTCTCCAGTATGACTTCTTTCATGTATTTTTAAGTAACTGTAATCTCTGAAGGCTTTACCACACTGTTTACATTCACAGGGTTTCTCTCCGGTGTGAGTCATTTCATGCCTGCGCAATGTACTGGGAAAATAAAATGCTAACCCACATTCTTTGCATTGATAAGGTCTATTTCCAATATGTACTTGCAGCACGTGTGCTCGAACACCTGATGGATAAATGAAGGCTTTCCCACATTCCTTACACTGATAAGGTCTATTTCCAGCATGCATTTTCATGTGTGTCCGAAATCCTGATGGATGCATGAAGGCTTTCCCACACTGCTTACATTCATAGGATTTCTCTCCTGTGTGCAGTTTCTCATGTCTCTTTAAGCCTTGGTGATTGCTGAGGGCTTTCCCACATTCCTTGCATTCATAGGGTTTCTCTCCAGTATGAGTTCCTCTGTGTAATTGCAAGGAATAGTAATAAACAAAAGCTTTACCACATTTACATTCATAGGGTTTCTCTCCCTTGTGATTTCTTTCATGCAATTGGAAACCTCGATGACAATTGAAACCTTTACCGCATTCCTTACACTCATAGGGCTTCTCTCCCTTGTGATCTCTTACATGTATTTCAAAACCTTGATGAGAACTGAAAGCTTTACCACATTTCTTACATTCATAGGGTTTCTCTCCTTTGTGATATCTTTCATGAACTTGGAAACCTCGATGAGAATTGAAAACTTTACCACACTGCTTACATTCATAGATTTTCTCTCCTGTGTGAATCTTTTCATGTGCCTGAAAAGTATGATGATATCTAAAGACTTTTCCACATTGTTTACATTCATAGGGGTGCTTTCCTTTGTGATAGCTTTGATGTATTTGGAAACCACGTTGAGAATTAAAAGCTTTACCACATTGCTTACATTCATAGGCTTTCTCTCCTGTGTGAGTCCTTTCGTGTGATTGAAAAGCACGATGATATCTAAAGACCATTCCACATTGTTTACATTTATAAGGTCCATATCCAGTGTGCATTGCCATGTGTCTTCGAAAGCTTGTTAGCCACATGAAGGGTTTCCCACATTCCTCACATTCGTATTGTTTTTCTCCTGTATGAATCCTTCCATGTATTTGAAAAGATGTACGAAAACGGAAGGTTTTCCCACATTCCTTACAGTTGTAGGTTTTCTCTTCCATGTGCTTCCTTTGATGTATTTGAAATAAACTTAAAGAAATATAAGCTTTCCCACATAACTTACATTTATATGGCCTCTCTCTGTATTTCAGATGTTCATGTGGTTTGTGTCCACTGTGACATCTGATGTGCATATTAAGGGAAAAATAATGCATGAAGACTTTTCCACATGTCCTGCATTCATGTGTTTTCACTCCAGTAGTTTTCTTGTTCAGACTGAGATTTGGGATAAGGCTGAAATTTTCTCCACAATGACTACCCTCTTTACTTTCATAAAGTTTTTCTACCATTTGACTTCTGTAAAAAACAAGAAACATATTATTTTTAATGATATTTTTCAAACTATTTATTAGGATTTATAGGAAAAGTGTAAGTTTCATGTATTGTCTGAATTCTCTGAATTTGGATATAATGAATGCTCTCCAGGAGGACTTCACCCTTGTAATTATCAAAACAGTTATATTGCCATATAGAGCCTATTTTTTTATTTTTTATTTTTTTATTTCTTTATCCTCACCCGAGGACATTTTTCCATTTTTTGTTCAGGTAGAGTGGGAGGGAGAGAGAGGAACAGAGAGAGAGAGAGAGAAACATCGATGTAAAAGGAACACATCAAGTGGCTGCCACCCGCACAACCGACCAGGGCTGGGGACAAACTGCAACCGAGGTACGTGCCCTTAGCGGGAACCGAACCCGGGTCTCTCAGGACCGCAGGTCGACGCTCTAACCGCTGAACCAAACCGGCCAGGGCTATAGAGCCTATTAATACAGTTTCCAAGTAAAGTATTTTGCGAACAATGAATATTTAGGTCACATATAAAGAAAGCATTCCTGGTAAAACATTTTTAAGAAGAACTAAATTTGAAGCAAGGGTTGTTTATTTTGTTTCCTTTTTTAAAAAATTCATAACATACCAGAATTCTCATGAGACACTACTTTCTATTGTGTGACTCACCTTAATTTTCTCCCCTGGTTTTTGTACAGATCTTCAATGTCACGATCTTCCCATTTTTTACCTAAAATGTAGACCCAGAAAAATTATTTCAAAATATTAGTGTTATAAAAAATTGTTAGATTCTACTCATTGTTAGCTATAACCATGCCCACTTTATTTATCAATGTCCTCCTTTTCTACATTCCACATCTTGGAAAATAGATGATGAGCAAAAAATACTTGCTCTCTAACTGACAATTTAAGAATGTCCTCATCCTTACCTATTGAGTCCAGGTTTTTGAAGGTTTCCTTCATCACATCTCTATACAGTTTCTTCTGTGGAGGATCCAGTAAAGCCCACTCCTCCAGGGTGAAGTTCACAGCCACATCTTCAATGGCCACAGCGTCCTAAAACATCCCAAGTATGTTTATAGTAGGATGCATGAGACTGACTGCACATGACATCTATACTCCATTTATAGAAATTTTATGTATATTCTGTCATCGCCAAACATTTATCAGAAACTTACTCTTTATCAATGCTTACTTCTAAATTTAACAGCATGATGATCATATGGAAATGATTTACACACTTTTACTGTGATCCCATTATATCTTATTTCTCTCTAATGGCAGGGTTCACAGCATGTTGAGAAGTGACAGAAAAATAAAACAAATATTTATCATTTTAAGACCATCAATACCTTGTGAGAAAAACTCTTCATCTCCTCTTTTATTATCATCATTTACAGTCCTCCATGAGGCAGAGGGTCAAATATACATAAAATTTTAATGAATGAAAAAAAGGAAGCTTTTTCTCCTATCCTCATCACCAAACATGAGAGTCCAAGAGACTAATGGATATACAACTTTTAATAAGGTCCAGCTGGCTATTATCATCCCTAAAGTACTCCAGGCTTCAGAAGTAGTCAGATGCAGCTAGAAAAACTGAAATATTTTTGTGAAGAAGTAGTTTTGCTTTAATAATTTTTACCACAGACTCAGTTCTGCCTTGGAGACAATTTTTGGCAGACATAGGCACACACGGTAAAAAAATGCCAGAAATGCTCTTTGAGGCAGAAACAGAACACTGCCCTGCACCTTCTTGACCTTGAGGAACAGACTGAGAGTTGCTGATTGCAACTGTGTTTCGTGAAATCCACAAAGGTTTGAAGACAAATTTGCCCATGAGTACACCATACGTTAAAGAATTCAGCAACGCTTTCCTTCAAAAGAACATAAAAAATCTCCCCTTTTAAACTGCATAAATGTTTCCTGACCAGCCATCCTAGAGGCTGCACTCCCAAGTTCTCTATTCCCAAGCTCCCACGTGGAGTAAGGCAGAATATCTCAAACCCTGAGCATATCTTGAATCCCTTAGCTGATGACACCACACACTGGCTAGAGTGTATGAAGGATTTATTACTTTCATAATTGAGGCCTGTGGGAAAAGCAAGGCAGGCCTCTCCAGTAGTCATGAAATAGCATGAGAAAGCAAGAAGAGAGGCCTGGACTTTTTTGTAAAATTGAGGTTAGTGGATGGGTTAGAGTTATGGTTCACACACAGCAGGGCCTTAGAGGACTGAGCCTCCTGACACCTTTAAAGGAAGGAGCACCAAGGCACTCATCGCCTTGTGTAGATATGGGTCAAAGGGGAATGAGTAGGGATGAGACTGAAACATTTTCATTTGTCAATCATCAACTACTGGAGTTAGAGAATTCCAGTTGGAATTCTGGTTGGAATTTAAGGAAGTTGAAAACCATTACTGACCTCATAGAAAAAGCAAAAAAACTTGACCAACTTTTCTTAGATCTATGAGAGGACTGAGGTTGCAATCAAACCACTCTTTTCAACATTGCAAAAGAGGATATTAAACAACATTTTAAAATATGTCCCAAATATTGTTCTTATCAAGGCCCGTAATACAAAGATAAAAAGAAGAAACATTACAAAACATGATATCCATGAACTGGAGAGCAATTACAAAAGATTGAAAGACACATAATGGAGATACCTGAAGGAAAAGACAAAGAAACAGAAAAAAATAGCTAAGTAGCAATCACTGAGATTTTCCTAAAATTAATTATAGTCAGCAAATTGTACAAGTAAGAACCTCAGTGAACTGCTCTGGCTGGGTAGGTCAGTTGGTTAGAGTGTCATCTCAATATACCAAGGTTGCGGGTTAGATCTCCAGTCAGGGCACATACAAGAAGCAACCAATGAACGTATGAATAAGTGGAACAAAAATGAATGTTTCTCTCTCTCGCTCTCTCTCTCTAGTCAACAAACAATATAATACTTTTTAGAAATTTTTTCTTATAAGCAAATATAAAAATAAGTATTATCAAGGTTTTTGGTAACTTTTCCAGACACCCTATTTCCCAGTTCTTTTTTTACCCCTAGACACCCTCCTCCCCCTCCAGCCCCCTCTAACCCCCCAACATTGTTGTCTATGTCCACTGGTTATGCATACTTGCATATAAATTCTTTGGTTTATCTTATCCATCTCACACGCCCCGCTCCTTCGAGGTCTGTCAGTCTGAACCATACTCCTTTCTATGTCTCTGGGTCTATTTTGTTCATTATATTCCACAAATATGTGAGATCATGTGGTATTTCTCTTTCTCTGATCGGCTTATTTTGCTTAGCATAATGCTCTCTAAGTCCCTCCATGTTGTCTCAAAGGATAATAGATCTTTCTTTCTTACAGCTGCATAGTATTCCATCGTGTATATGTAGCACAGCTTTTTCCCTCCAATTTTTATTAATTTATTTTTGTTATACCCTCCTCCCCACCCCCACCCCCCCAGTATTGTGTTGTCTATGTCCATTGGTTATGCATACATGCATATACGTTCTTTGGTTCATCTCATCCATCCCCACTCCCCGCCTACTTTGAGGTTTGTCAGTCTGACCATACTCCTTTCTATGTCTCTGGGTCTATTTTATTCATCAGCTCACTTTGTTCATTATATTCCACAAATAAGTTAGATCACGTGTACCACAGCTTTTTTTATCCACTCATCTACTGATGGACACTTGAGCTATTTCCAGATCTTAGCAATTGTAAATAGTGCTGCTATGAACATAGGGGTACACATATTCTTTCTGATTGGTGTTTCAGGCTTCTTAGGATATATTCCTAGAAGTGGGATCATTGGGTCAAATGGCAGATCAATTTTTAATTTTTTGAGAAAACACCATAGTATTTTCCACAGTGGCTGCATCAGTCTGCATTCCCACCAGCAGTGTACTAGAGGTCCCCCTTTCTCCATACCCTCGCCAGCACTTGTTGTTTGATGATTTGTTGATGGCAGCCATTCTGACAGGTGTGAGGTGATACCTCATAGTTGTTTTAATTTGCATCTCTCTGATGATTAGTTGGGGCAGATAGAAGAAGGTAAAGTGGGGATAAATAGTGACAGAAGACTTGACTTTGAATGGTGAACACACAATACAATATGCAGATAGTGTGTTATAGAATTGTACACTTGAAACATATATAATTTTATTAACCAATGTCACCCAAATAAATTCAATATAAAATTTAAAAAACCCCATCTCTACTTACCAACCTGCTAAAAAGTTAAAATAAACAAGTGCTTAAAAATAGATTTCATTTTATCAAATGCCCAGGCAGAGAAACAATCCATCACCTATCGTGAACAGCCAAGGTAACAAGGTAGTTCAGAAAGAAAATAAAAAATGGCCAGAAAATAAACTTAAAGACATGGAACACCATGATTTAAATGACAGAGAATTTAAGATTGCAGTTCTGAAAAAACTCAATGATATACAAGAAAACTCAGAAAGTCAGTTCAGTGAGCTTAGGAATAAAAACAACAAAAGGAGTACTTTACCAAAGAGATTGAAACTAACAGAAAATATAGAGCTGAAGAACTCAATAAATGATATGAAAAATAAATTACAGAGCTTAGAAAATAGAGCAGACTAGAAGGAGAAAAGAATCAGTAATATTGATGACAGAAATCTAGAAATGACTCAGCAAGAAGGGGAGAGAAAATTGAGAGTAAAAAAAAAAAAGGACTTTACAAAAACAATCTGATTCCACTAGAAAGAACAATATAAGAATAATGGGTATAGCAGTAGGAACAAAGAGGGAGAAGGGAACAAAGAGACTATTAAAAAATTAATGAGAACTTCCCAAACCTACAGAAAGAAATGGACTATACCCTTGAATCCAAGAAGCTATTTATCTCAATGCAAAAAGACCTTCTAGCCTTGGCCAGTGCGGCTCAGTGCCTAGAGGCTAGAGTGATGGCCTGAGCAACAGAGAGCCAAGGGTTCAATTCCTGGTCAATGGCCCATACCTGAGTTATGGTTCGATCCCTGGCCCCAGTCAGGGCTCATGTGCGAGGCAACCAATTGAGGTGTCTCTTTCACACTAATGTTTCTCTCTCCCTCCCTCCCTTTCACCCTCTTTAAGAAATCAATGCAGTAGAGCTCAGTCTAAAGATTCCTTATGAAAAACTGACATTCCAGACAAATTTGAAAAAGCTTATCAATTGATAATTCTTGTTATGGTTATGCAAATAATCAGGCCAAATTTAAACTGGATCTAATGCAGTCTCTTTAATAAAAATGAGGGTGATGCCAAAATATATTTAAAAACTTCTGAAGGACTTCAAGGGAGAGATCAATAGCAATACGATTATAGTGGGTGACTTTAACACATCACTGACACCACTGGAGAGATCTTCCAGACAAAAACCTAACAAGAACATAGAGTCCTTAAATGACGACCTAAATCAGTTGGACTTAATTGATATTTACAGAACATTTCACCCCAAAGCTGCAGAATATAAATTCTTCTCTAGTGCACACAGGACATTCTCAAAGGTAGACCACATGTTAGGACACAAAGTAAGTCTCTACAAATTCAAAAAGATTAAAATCATATCAAGCATCTTCTCAGATCACAATGCCATGAAACTAGAACTCAATTACAACAAAAACATTAAAACACTTGGAGGCTAAATAGCATGTTATTAAACAATGAATGAGTTACCAATGAGATCAAGGAAGAAATTAAAAACTTTCTGGAAACCAATGAAAACGAACACACTACAACACAAAGTCTATGGGACCCAGTGAAAGCGGTCCTGAGAGGGAAGTTCATAGCACTACAGGCCTACCTCAAGAAACAAGAAAAATTCCTAATTGACTTTCTAACCCTACAACTTAAAGAACTAGAAAAAACAAAACAAAACAGAAAAACCCAGAGCAAGCAGAAGGAAAGAAATAGTAAAGGTCAGAGCACAAAAAATGGCATAGAGACTAAAAAAACAGTTCAAAAGATCAATAAAACACAAAGCTAGTTCTTTGAGAAGATATACAAGATTGATGGACCTTTAGCCAGACTCACCAAGAAACAAAAAGAGAGGACCCAAATAAACAAAATCAGAAATGAAAGAGGAGAAGTAACAACTGACACCACAGAAATACAAAGGATCACTGAAACATACTATGAACAATTATATGCCAACAAATCGGACAATCTAGGTGAAATGGACAAATTTCTAGAAACACACAGTCTCCCAAAACTGAACGGGGAAGAGATAGAGAACTTGAACAGACCAATAACAACTAAAGAAATTGGAGATGTAATTAAGAAACTCCCAGCAAACAAAAGCCCAGGCCTGGATGGCTTCACGGGGGAGTTTTACCGAACATTGAAAGAAGATATACTGCCCATTCTCCTCA